AATGGTACACAATGAGATACTTCTGTAATATGGTTTTGTCCTTGGAATTAAAAAGAAATATAAGACTAAGCTCTGTATTAAACATAGGTTAGCAAAAATTCAAGTTTCAGAATGGTAGAACATAGGTTTTTTCCACTCCTAAATGGGAAAAAAAATACAAATTTTGAATTGTGATGCGACACATAAGCAGATACAGACCGCACAAGGCGATGGAGCCACTACAGTATAAATTATTTTTCTTTGTTTCCTGAGTGGTGGGTAGGAGATTAGCAAATTAGTGAACAGAAATGGGCATATAGTGTAGATTGTTGGTCAAGAAGTATGTAAAGCGAGTAGTGGAAAGTTTATGTAATCAGTATCAAATATCTATCAATAATTGTGGTGTCGAATTTGAGTCTTGGCTCACATAGTCAAAGAAGGATGGGTAAAATGGACAAAAACTTGCTGAGAAAATGTGAACATGAATGGCTATGGAGGTAAGCAAGGTTCCATGAGATGGCTATAAGGCTGGCAATTATAACCTCAATAATTAAGAAACATGTAAACCGAAAGTGGGTCCATCTGAAAAGAGATAATAGAGGTGAATGGTTGTGTGTTGTAAGTAAGAAATGAATGCATTTATTAGAAGTTAGAAACATTGTTCATAAAGATAACATGAAGGAGAATCGCGTGAGATAGTATAGCTTGTACAGTTGAGGCCAGTATATTTGGAATTAAGAGTTACAGATCACAGTAATTGGAGTGATGATGACGAATTATAGGACTAGGCAGTTAAAATGGATGCAGTAGTTTTCAACTTAATCAAGGAGATGATTCTTAATATAGCTGAAGGAAGAAATGGATCGCATAGCCGGCTTCAAATATTTGAGGATGCTTTTTTTGTCGTCTAAGATTATTTTGGGATATGGATTAGTACTTGGATCACTGCGAAAGAAATATATGCCTTCCTGCCTGAGGGACCTTTCATTCTCCCATAAAGGAAGTTTACACATTTTAAACAGTCTCAAGTTAAAAACTTTGCGCCAGAAGAATCTCATTGTTCGTGGTGCTTGCATTTGATTAATTTAACTGTTTGTTCTTGAAAACAGGATCGAAAGATCTTAAGTATGACAAATAGCTGTTGCAGTACCAATTTCATGGATACAAGCAGAATTCTAGCAAATTTAAGAGCCTTTGTCGGTGGAATACTCATGCATCCAAGAGATATTTTAGATTTCCACTGTTTAAGATATAAGTTGCTTTAAGACAACAATTCTACTTTGTTCAATTTTTATTATCTGCTTGCATTTTTTCTCCAGGTGGAAAAGCTGGATGAAAATGAATGGCAGACTAAGTTGCGCCAACTGAATGAAAGTGGCCACAAGGAGCTGGTGGTTAAGCGGAACTTTGGGCATGACGGGCAGAATACTCTTGCAGAGATGGCTCGCCAGCACGGCCTTCATTTGTATGTTTTTTTTTTTTGCTTTCAATATTTTTTCATGCATTTTTTATAGCCCCTCAACATTCTGTTCTGTATACTACATATATCTCTATATTTTCTTTTCGCTGCTGCTGACTGCTAACCTGTACCTGTGACCAAAAGCAAAACATCATTGCCTATATTTAATTGAGATCTAGCTGAAATTAGCATGTTTTGTTATATCATCAATCACATTCTGCTCAAAATCGTTTGGAAAGCTAATGTTTCTTTCTTTTGGTTTACTCTTTGTATGGGAAAAAGCCATGCTTACAACAAAGGAAAATCTCTTGTTTTTAGCAAAGTTCCATTGCCAGATTATCGTGCAGATCTTGATGAACGACATGGATCAGCACAGAAAGAGGTGTGTTTCATGTGAACTTTTATTTATTTGGATATCATTAGACAATGGTAAGCATGTTCCCACGTTGCAGATTAATATGTCAACAGAGACCGAGAGAAGAGTTGAGAATCTTCTGGCAAAATCCATAGGAACATCAGGAATTATTGGTTCCAGTAGCACTTCCAGCCCTACCTCCAGTCAAGGAAGTAAACAGTCTTTGCCTAACATGGTTACAACAGATGGTGAATCAAGAGCACGATTGGGTGTTCCGAAGGAAAAGTTCAGTCTTGAGCTTAGAGACATGCAGATCTCCAAGAAGGTATATGCAAAGTTGCCAATGGCTTTTGATACACTTCTTACATTATGCTTCACTTCATCAAATTGTATTCAATTGTGCATAATCAATTAAATCTGGTTCTTTTCTTTTTCTTTTTCTTTTTTGGTTCAATCCAGTCCACTCCAAGCGCAAGAGCAATGCAGTCGTTTAGGGAAAAGTTACCAGCATATAAGGTTAAAGAGGAGTTTCTAAAAGCTGTGGCAGACAATCAGGTATCACATGTTTTAACGTAGTTTGCATCACATGTTATCTGGAATAACTGACTAAGCAAAGCGGTATATAATTTTTTTTCTTTTTGGTTTCTCATGCAACATTGTTCTTTAGAATAGCAAGCGTTTTCTTTCCCAAGAAAAAGGGGTTTTTGACTCGATTATCTCATTATGTTATACCCTTTTTATTCTGTCACACTGTAGGATGCCTCTGATGTGTATCTTGTCATTTCTTTGCTGTATAAATTCTGTAACATGTAACTTGATAATGGATTTTACAATTGCCCACTTTGGGGGGCATCAAGTGGTGTTCGGTGCACTTCTATTCTCCAAATAGTATGCCTTAATCCATAAGGTGACCATAGTATATGTAAGGGGTCTTTTGTTACATATGCTGTTTTACAACAACCATTCCAAATGGCATTGTGATGTAAATTGTAATGCTAGGAAAAGTATGAAGTGCAGACGGGTCGATGGCATTAAAAGTGTACCAAATGATGTTAGCCATTGGATCATTAGATTTCGAGATTCGTGCCCATATCTAATGGTTGACATCCTTTGTGTGCACATTTAATGCCATAATCATCCCTGTCGGATACTTTTTCGTAATGCTAATTGTAGTTCTCATAGACTTAGTCATCAAAAGCATAGCAAACAGCAAGTATGAATTTTTCCTGGTAGTCTACCAGGCAGGCAACACATACTTGCAATACCAAAAGACACCTTAAAATCTTCATACTCTTCTCAACTATAGCTGTGTTTTCATACTGTCAAGGAGATGTGTCACTCATGGTATCTCGGGTCATGATGTTGTGTCCTTTTCACTCTAGAGGTTGAGTCCTCTTGTTTCTAGCTGTTGTAGTTGATGGACGTTGTTGTGTCATATATTGTGTGTGATGTCTTATAATATATTATAATGAAAGTCTACCAAAAATGGCAAAGCTTAGTTTTTTTCCAAACCGACTTAGAGGTACTTAAGAGTTACCATTTTCATTTTTCTTATGATCAATTTTCATCAATTTTTGTATCACCAATCGTGCTTGTGGACTAGGATGTTGAAAGAGGATCAACTATGCAAAAAAAAAAAAAAAAGACTGCAGAAAAAATGAGAATGCCTGATGAATGTCTGGCAAAATGATGCAAGATATGATAAAAGTATAACTGTATACATATACCATGGTGGAGCTAGAAATTATTTAGGAGGAGGAAACTGCATTAAATTAGAAACATCCTTTAGTTAAATATAGGGTTCCTAACGTTGGTCCCGAGTAAATACCAATTTTTATGAGAAATTGATAGACGTTTGACTTGAAAACATTTATAGTGGTGATAATAGTTGGTTCATTATTGAAATATTGCCATAAAAGATATTATACCAAAATTTTCACGAAAGAAAATCTAGCTTATGCATTTTATGGAGATAGATGGACCTACATGCTTGGAGCATCCTCATTCACATGCTATCTTTAATGTCCACGTTGGATTATGGTGCCTGACACATGCCATATACATCTTCATGTATGAATTTTGGACAATTGCAGTGTCTGAAACTCGTTGTCCATGCTGGAGCATGTCATTTGTGTTCATGTCTATAATTGTAGGTTTTATTTTTTGGTTTGTCGAGGGAACTTCCCCATGATCCTTCGGACCATGGGTATCAAACCCCCGGGCATGGCTAAAGGGCACCCCTAACGCACAGCCTCAGGTATTCCACGAAATTAAATTTGTCAGGCGCTCCCTAGGAGAGTTGAACCTAAGACCTTGGAGTACTACTCACAGTGCAGCTTACCAACTCGGCTAGACCCTCGTGGGTATAATTGGAGGTTTTTAGTACCCTAAGAATCATTTTGTAAAGTATTGCTTCATTAATTCCATGTCATTTATTTAACAAAATTCTAAATCAAATGGCTTCAGTGAAACGTTCTCTAGAATTTTCAGGCAGCCTCTTTAATGTCTTTCATCTAAAAGTCGGTGGCCAACATTAGTTTAAGCTATACTGCAATAGTATTGAAAAGAGGAGCTTGAAATGTAGAAGACCCTGTCTCAGAGTTTTGATCTCAATATTCTGCAGAGTTGCAGTAGGGAGAAGTCTGCAATCAGATGTAACTATGTAAGTTGATAATACTTCTTTTAGGGAACTATCCTTTGATCTCTGGGAGAAGTATAAGACAAAAGCTAAAAGTATATGATAATGCCAGAATAAAAAGTGCACATCTAGTTTACTTTATATTTTTAATGTCTAACATAAACATGTTATGTAGGTTCTTTATCGATTTGAGGTGCCTCTGTTGGACACAGAGAAACCTTCTTGGTAGGAGTATGAAGTCTTGGGTATCTACTCAGTCATCCCTTTGTGTTTTAGGTCACTGGTGTAGCATAGTTAGCCAGCAGGAAGCCCTGTCACAGTAGGAAGCCCTGTCACAGTTTGAGCTCATGCAATATACTGCGGAGTCACAGTTGGCAAAATTTTGCAATCAGATGTAATTTGATAAAATTTATTTTCGGGAACAATTCCTTTGATATCTGAGACAAATATAAGACAGAAAGCTAAAAATATATGCTAATGCCAGAATAAAAATACATTTAGTTTGGTTCATATTTTTAATATGTCCAACATAAATATGTAATGTGGGTTCTTTATCCACTTGAGTTGCATCTGTTGGACACGGAAAAACCTTCTTCGTTAGAGTATAGATTCTTAGGTATCTACTCGGTCATCCATTTGTGTATTTGGATATCATAAGTTGTATCTCACTGGTATAGAATGTTGGATAAGAGCATAAACACTAGGTTGTGGATTCTGACCTAGGTTGCATGGGTACGGGTACGGGTACTGGTATGGACACGACAAATTTGTAAAAGGTAGGGTATGGGGACACATCATTATATATGCATGTTATGTATATTTATATATATTAAACTTAATAATTTATCTAAGATCAATATTGTTTTATCATTTACATAAGATTAATATATAAGAGATAGATGTGAAGTGTAGTGTACACATCCAAGAAGTGTATGACTGTTTTAAATTAGAACATGTATTGTATAATCGAGTATACGCCTGATAAACTTATGCATATATTTAAGAAGTGTCCAAGAGGTTTGGGTACGGGTACGGGTAGGTGTTGGGTACGGCTTCCCAATAGAAGTACCCAGGTAACTTGGATTCTGATTAACTTTTCCGCTTTAGAGTTACATTCGATAGAAGTACCCAGGTAACGTAGATTATGATTAACTTCTCCGCTTCCGAGTTACACGAATGTAATTATCTATAATACCATCAAGGCAGAAGCTTTTGCTTAAGAAGCTGCATACATGTTTGGATAAAGAAGCAGATATTGGTGTTGTTTCTTTCAGCTAATCTCGAGATTATACAAAGTCCTTGAAATTTTGCACTATTTGGATATCTAAATATCATGCCTTTTCTTTATGAATTCCCAAAATTTTGATGTTTTTACAATGACAAATCTGTACAGAATGCGTAGGGCTGTTTCTTCTTTGTGGTTTGTCCAAAATTTTGTTGTCTATATAGTCAGTGCATCAATAGATTCATTTTTTATTTTGATTGTGAAAAGCGTCTCTCTCTGGATCTGTTCTTAAGGTTCAAATGTGTTCTGAATCTTTTCTTATACTTTGAGCTGTAGGTATTGGTCGTTTCTGGAGAGACAGGGTGTGGAAAAACTACACAGCTACCCCAATTTATACTCGAGGAGGAAGTATCACATCTCCGTGGAGCAGATTGTAATATAATATGCACTCAACCGCGTCGTATATCTGCTATATCTGTGGCAGCAAGAATTGCTTCAGAAAGGGGTGAGAATCTTGGGGAGACTGTTGGCTACCAAATCCGTTTAGAAGCTAAGCGTTCAGCTCAGACAAGGCTTCTTTTCTGTACAACTGGGGTGTTACTTCGGAGACTGGTATTCAGATACTCTTGAGTTTACCATCTTTTATTGGTGAAATAAAGGCCATCTTTGCATTATGTTCATAACTTTCATAAAGACTATTGATCTTAACATCACATTTCTATTCTTTTACCTGTGAAATTCAAGTATAAGCCAATCCAAATGATTTTGGTTCTGTTTGGTTGGCAATTGGCGGATTCAGGCCCGAGCCTGGTGGATTTTATTTCAGGCCTAGTTTAGGGGTCCAAAGTGAAAAACAGGCCTGGCTCCAACCACTTGCATCTTGTTAAAGGAACCACATAGCTTTTAATGTAAACAATGTTTGGAAGACATTCAGCTAGAAATAGAATTTCATCAGTGGAACATCAGGATAAGAAAGAAAATAGCATGATCATAGCTATCTCATAAGTCATAACCAGCTCCAAGTCACAGTGGAGCTATTAGCTATAAACTAATAATAATTAACTCGTGTATCAAAGATCTAGTGGGTTCACTGATACAATTTTTAAAAATTATGAATTATACCAATGCGGACATAAACACTATGGGACACTTTGAAACAGTTTGAAACTTGAAGAACAATTGGAATTTGTTCATTGTGACTACTAAAATGCTATCTGAAAATTATCAGAATGTTAGTTGAACTATGAAAATGTTTTTTTAATCATTTACAAGAATTATATAATCTACATCCTAAGCACTTAGCATATCGTGGGATATGCCAGCCCAACATACATTTTGTACATGTTAATACTCTTGAACAAACAAATATATCGATAAGACCTCTGCGCCAAGTTATATTAACACATTTCAATAGATAAAAAGTTAACCATGATGGCCAATCTAATTTTAATTAGATTTAACACACAATTTAATTTTTTACTGCCGAAATAAATCAAAAAAACATCTAGATCCATCTATTGTAATTTAACTCTGATTTCCAAGCTGATCCATGGTTTTCACTTTTCACAGAAATGGCATGCCCCATCTATATAGAATTTCCTTTAACTGAGTAAACGGTTTCAACAAAGTCTTAAGATTTCTCTTAAATTAAACATTAGGTCAAGAAAAAAAACCTGACGCTTCTCGAAACACCTTTTCAAACAACAATTTATCCTTTGATACTTCACCTACCAATACCCCTCAGTTAAGTATGAAATGATGAATTACGGGAATTAGGCTAGTGTAAGAGCAAGAGGAAGGGATCAAGACAATTTGAGATGCGAGAGGTTGGTAAGGTTTGGAGGAGAATGTAGAATCTACTGAAAAGTATTCTCAACCACGAGAAATGAAGATATATCTGTTAGGAAAATGATATTAGTATGTGATATAGAGAAATGTGTTCGGGGAAAAGATGTTAATATGCTATTGGTTCGAAGAAATTTCTATACACTTCAAAATACTGAATATATTAAAATATGTAACTATATTTGTTCGGAAAAATACTTCAAACCTTCAAATCAGTTGAAAAATAATTATCATAAAACTAATTATGATTAGATACATGAACCTTTATTTATGTTTCAGTTTTATGAAATTACAATGAATTTACAGATGCAAACTGCCGTGATCTTTATGTTATTGACAGACAACTACCAGGAACTTTCGGGAAAATACCTCAAATGATTTGCACTTGATATTGCTTATCATTTATCTGACAGGTTCAGGAACCTGATCTGGGTGGTGTCAGTCACTTATTGGTGGATGAAATTCATGAAAGAGGCATGAATGAGGATTTTCTCATCATAATTTTGCGTGACCTTCTTCCCCGGCGACCAGACCTTCGCCTAATTCTAATGAGTGCCACCATAAATGCTGACCTATTCTCTAAGTACTTTGAAAATGCACCGACTATCCATATTCCGGTACTAGAATATTTTATTGAACTGTCTTCTACTATTTCCTATCATGGTCATTATTATTATTGTTGTTTTTATTATCTTTTGTTCACTTTTTGCCCAGGGGTTGACATTTCCTGTTGCTGAGATGTTTCTCGAGGATGTTTTGGAGAAAACTCATTACAAGATCGTATCAGAGACTGACAATTTTGTAGGCGGCTCAAGAAGAAGAAGACAGCTATCTTCGAAAAGTGACCCATTGACTGAAATGTTCGAGGTAAAACTGAAAAGCTAGATTGGCTTCTATTTCCTTTGTCTTCATACCTAACCTTTCAAGTATTATGTTTTGTAACAGCAGCTTTTCTCTTTTGCAAACTGTCCTTTTTTTGCCGTTTCACCCAATGCTTTTGTGTAGCGGATTTATATTTCCTTTATTGTCTGATGCCGACCCTAGAAACTTGGAAAGGGGTAATACCACAACTCAGCTGCTGCAACATGGGTGGCAATAGCTGGGCATGTTCCCTTCATGCTAATTTTTGATTGAAAAAACTTGTATAGATGGAGATGATCTTTCTGTGGAAGCCCTTTATTCAGCGTAGTGAAGGCTGGGGACTGTGATGCCATACTCTGCGTGTTTATTTGTTTTGTGCTTTCGATGACTCCTTAGTAATAAACTCTTTCGAAGATGGATATTCCTATTATCAGTTGTATGTGCTTGTCTTTCAGCTTTAACATAATGGTGGGGTTCTCTTTTTCTGGAATTGCTTTTGTAAGTATTGGGTCTCTCAGATGATCCTTCTTTTGGTTCAAAGAGAAATTGAACACGTTATATGGATTTTCGTGCTAACTTTGCTGCTTCTTGATTGTTGGCATATCATAGTTCTTTACTGCAGCCATGCTTCTTTATCTGCTTTAAGCAGTTCCTCGTCCACTTGTTTGCCCTTATTTCTTATATTTCTAATTTTGTGCTTTCAAGCTACACTTCCTTACATGCTGTCAAACATCTTTTAAACATGAAGATAATGATTACAAGTATTTCAATTTAATTAGTTTTTTCAAACCTTAAGAGGAACACTGCATATTTTATAGGTTACGAAATCCAGGCTTTAATGGGCAATTCAATATTTTTTGTTTCAACCTCTCTCTGCAATTTGGATGTTTTCCTGCATTAATTAATTGCAATATAATTTTTTTCCTGATGTAGGATGTTGATATCAACAATCAATTCAAAAGCTACAGCATATCTACACGGCAGTCTCTTGAGGCCTGGTCTGGTGCACAGTTAGATTTGGGTCTTGTAAGTAATTAATCTCTTAGCAGGATTGTGGCATGCTATTGTACATTTGTACCTTGGTGAATATTGCAATCAACTCTTTATTTACAATTAACTTATACTAGATTTGGCCAAAAATCCTAGAAAATTAGTTGTCTGTATCAGACCACATATATGAGTATTTGGCTTTTCACTCTGGTTGCAGTGCTGATGGATATTTTTTATAGCATAGCTTTGAAGTTGATATGCCAGTCCTACACACCTTGATGAACTGCAGCAAATCTAGTTCCCAAATTGATGAGACTTGATCCATGTTATAGCATATTTCTTTTTAGAATTTGTTAAGAGAGAAAATCAGAGGTCCACCTTTTCATTCATCCACAAGGGTTTATATAGGAGTACATATGGGTAATAGGTTAATGGGTTAATGTGCCCTGACCCGATAACCCAAATACTAATTCTAACACTCCCCCTCAAGCTGGAGCATTTATATCAACCATGCCCAGCTTGTTACATAGGATGAAAACACCTTAGGTGATGTAGCTTTAGTGGGAATGTCAGCTAACTATTCTGCATACGGAGTGAACTGAAGAGAGATCACTTTCTTTTCCCAAGCATCTCTAACAAAATTACAATCAACTTCAATGTGCTTAGTTCTCTCATGAAATACTGGATTCTTTGCAATATAGATAGCGGACTGGTTATCACAATGCATAGGCATAGGGTCAGGCTGAGTAAAACCAAACTCTGTCAACAGCTTCTGCAACCATATCATCTCACACGCAGTGTGAGCCATAGCTCTGTATTCTGCCTCTGCACTAGATCGAGAAATTACATCTTGTTTCTTGCTCCTCCAAGTAACCAGATTTCCTCCAATAAAGGTACAAAATTCAGAAGTAGATTTCCTATCTCCTATGTCTCCTGCATACCCAGCATCAGAAAAGGCAGAGATGTGTAAATGTTCATGTTTCTTATATAATAATCCTTTTCCAGGACATCTTTTAACATAAGCTAAAATCCTCAGAGCAGCAGTCCAGTGAACCTTTCTAGGTTTATGCATAAATCTACTCAGTACTCCCACTGCAAAGGTAATATCAGGCCTAGTCACAGTAAGATAGATCAACTTTCCAATCATTCTCCTATATTGACCTGCATCATCTAGGAGAGGACTATTATCATGCTACAGATCCACATTCACCTCCATTAGAGTGCTTGCTGGCTTACACCCTAAAAGGTCTATTTCTTCTAACAAATCCAATACATATTTCCATTGAGATAGAAGCAGACGGCCTGTTTGATATGCAATCTCAATCCTAAGAAAGTATTTGGGTTTTCTCATATCTTTGATCACAAAGTGACGTGAAAGGTACTCCTTAGTCTCTGCTAAGACAGCAAGATCACTCCCAGTTAGCAGGATGTCATCAACATATACTGTCAGAATCACCAAACCAGATTTAGTGCTTCGGATGAAGATTGAGTGATTAAACTGACATCTTTTAAAACTGACACCAGATATAGCAGTACTAAATTTCTTAAACCATGCACGTGGACTTTGTTTGAGATCATAAATCGTATTTTTAAGCCTACAGACATTATTCTCTTCCTGAGCAACATACCCCGGAGGTTACTCCATATAAACTTCCTCTTGCAAGTCTCCATACAATAAAGCATTTTTAACATCCAGCTGAAACATGATCCAGTCCAGATTAATAGCCATAGAGAAAAGTAGGCGAATAGAATTAAGACGAGTAACGGGAGAGAATGTCTCAAGATAGTTGACCCCATAGGTTTGAGTATAATAACCCTTAGCAACAAGACGAGCTTTATAGCGATCAACCGAACCACCTGTGCGATACTTCAAGATATAAACCCACCGACAGCCAACTACCGTAACACCCGTAGGAAAAAGTACAAGATCCCAAGTCCCTCTAGAAACAAATGCATCCGTCTCCTCATTTATGGCCTGTTTCCTTACAGGAACTAACGCGGCCTCATATGACTTGGGTAGAGATATAGAGGACAAGGACAAAGCAAACTGACGAGAAGAGGGAGAAAGACGGTCATAGGAAACAAAATCAGATATAGGATGATTAGTACAAGACCATTTACCTTTTCGATGAGCAATTGAAATATCTAGAGCAGAAAGATTAGAAGGGGGCAGACTTGCAACGGGAGATGACTGTTCGGCAGGAGCAAAGAGGAGCAAAAACTTTTGGATGGCGACAATACGTCAGTAGTGACGGTGGTGCATGTGGCACAATAGAGGCATCATGTAATCCTGAAGAAAATTCGTCAGCAGAAGGAATGAAAGCAGGCAATGGAACAGTAGTAGGAGCACTAGACGGAAGAGGCACAGATGGATTGACAGTTGGAGATGAACTAGTCGAAGAGAAGTATGGAACTGACTCAAAAAAAAAACATCTGCGGACACAAAATACTTCATGATGGATGGATTATAACACTGATAACCTTTTTGAGTGCGCGAGTATCCTACAAAGACACTTAATAGATCGGAGAGATAATTTATCTAATCCCGGAGATAAATCCTAAACAAAACAGGTACAACCAAAAACACGAGGAACCACAGAAAATATTTGTTTATCAGGATAAAGACATGTGAACGATATTTTACCATTAAGAACAGAAGAGGGCATCCTATTGATCAGGAAACATGCACTCAGAACAGCATCAGATCACAAATACTTTGGAACATTCATATGTATCATCACGGTTCGAGCAACATCTAAAATGTGTCTACGCTTCTTCTCAGCAACTTTATTTTGTTGTGAAGTGTGATAGCATGAAGTTTGATGGAGAATACCTATATTTGCACAAAAATGAGAGATATCATTTTTTATGTATTCCAAGGCATTATCGGTACGAAGGATATGAATAGAGGTGGAAAACTGTTTTTTGATTTTATTGTAAAATATTTCGAGAACAGATGAAACCTCAGATCTCTCTGTTAAAACATAAAGCCAAGTCATGCGAGAGAAGTCATCAACAAAGATAATAAAATATCTATAACCTCTTACGGAAGATATATGACAAGGATCCTAAATGTTAGAATGGACTAACTCAAACGCAGAACTGCTGCGTTTATCAACACGACTCTGATAGGTAGCACGATGGTGCTTACCCAATTCACAAGACTCACAACCTAAAGAAGAGACAAAAGACTCGATAGAAATGACTGACCGAAGTTTCGATAACGATGGATGACCAAGGCGTTGATGCCATAGTAAAGAATGATGAGACTTTTCTGCAACAAGACTAGTAGTGGGCGTATTGTCATTCAAATAGTACATGCCTCCTCTCTCATGCTCCGAACCAACCTTCATCCCAGTTGTTAGGTCCTGAAAAACAAATGAGAAGAAAAAAATATGACTTTACAGTTATGTTTTGTGAACTGACTGATGGACAATAAACTAACAGGGAACTTGGGAAGATATAAAATATCAGTAAGAGTCAACGATGAAGTAGCATGAACTACTCCATCACCAAAAACTGGAGAGTATGTCCCATCAGCGATCCGGACCGATGGAAACTTGTCAGAAAGGTTTAAGGAAACAAAGTGGTCCTTTATACCTGTCATATAAGAAGAGATGCCAGAATCTAATATCCATGATCTGTGAGGAGAGGAAATGTAGGCATCCTACCTGAAGAGGATGCATGAGTAGCAGATCTGGGAGAGATCGAGTTGACGTAATCAGTCAAATTTAGCTTGAGAAATTTGAACTGTGGATGAAGCGGAAGTAGTAGTGGTAGGAGAAGCAGCAGATGTAGTATCAGCTATTTGGGCCCATGCAGGACGATCAAATTTTTCCCAGCATTTCTCAGATATATGATTAGTTCTTCCACAATGGTGACATTGGCGCAGATTCCTATCTGAGTCAATTTGTCTTCCACCAAAAGAGTCTCGTCCTCCCCTTATGTCACGGTCACATCCACGATCACAACCTTGACCTCTATCACGTCCGAAGAACATAGCAGACTGGTCAAGAGACGGAGTAGACGTTGAGGCAGCAAAATCTCCAATAGTTACCTGCATAACTCTTGAGAAAGTAGTAGTCAAAGAAGGAATAGTATCTCCTCCTAGTATTTAGTCCCGCACTTGAGACTGTAAAGTGGGACTCAGACCCGACAAGAAATTGAACACTGCAAGGTCCCTACGATATCCCAACAGTGTTGGTGCATCCGTAACAACGGACTGATGCATCTCTAATTCATTGATCAGACTTTTCAGCTCACCAAAGTATTCAGGTACAGAGCAATCGCCCTGTTGAAGGGAGAAAAAACGTTCATACAATTCGAACACACGTGATGCATTTTTCTCATCCCCGTACATAATTTTTAAAATTTTCCACATCTCCTTAGCAGTGTTCGAGAACATGACACTGCTACTGATCTGGGCTTCCATGCTATTAAGGAACCAAGTCATCACATAACAGTCAACAGAGATCCATGCGGGATACGTAGGATCAGTAGAAGCAAGAGGAGGGGCCAGAAGATGAGCTAATTTGTTCTGAGCTCCAATGAAGATGCGAAAGGCCTGAGCCCAAAGAAGATAGTTTGTGTCATTTAACTTCACAGTGGTTCCCAATACGACTTTGGGTGCAGAGATCTCAGCAATAGTAGGGGTAGTAGCAGCAACAGAAGATATATCAGATCCTGTCAATGTTACAGAACAAGATACAGTAGCAGGAGGATCACAATCTTCTTGTATAAAACCCGAAGGTTTAAAACAGAAACCCGAGGGTTAGAATAGAACCCGAAGGTTAGAACCTGGGTTAGAACCCGAAGGTTAGAGAAAAAAAACCAAGGTCGGGTTAGAACCCGAAGGTCAGTTTTCAGGAACCCGAAGGTTAGTGTTCATAAACCCGAAGGTTAGAGATCTCATCCAAGAGATTTTTTTGTATTGTTTTCTTTTTTTTTTGTTTTTTTTTAAATTTGTGTACACTTTTACACCCTCATCAAAGGCCTAACAACAAGGACCCAAATACAAACAACAACCAGGCCCTACAACAAAGGCCCAAATACAAATAGGAAAAGAAAAATAAAATGAAAACAACAGCAGCAAAAACAAAAATGGCAGCAACCAGGCCCAAGCTCAAACTGCAAAAAAGAGAAAAAGGAGCTCCGCAGGATGATGACGACCTCCTCGAGGATCTTCTTGTTGGTGTGGAAGTCGAGGGTCATGCGCGAGTAGTAGCGCTCGATGACTTGGCGGGAGGATTTCATCACTATTTTTGTGCAGACGCGACCCATGTCTGAGGATTTAGGGTGTGGGTTTGGGGATTTCGCTCGCACGCCGGCTGCTGATGGCTGAAAGACGACAACAACGACTCAAAAAATGAGGATCTGCAGGACGGTGAACTCCAGAGCGGCGGCTAGGGTTCGGCAGATTGGTTCGGAGCTACGGCGAAGACGAGGATCGGTGAAGCTTGGGCGGCGGAAGATCGCGACGAAGATTTGGATCTAGGTGAAGAAAACGAGCGGGTTAGTTTCTTTCTCTCTTTTTTTCTTTTCCCGTGGAGAGGCGGCAGCTGAAAAAAAGGTAGGGTTAGGGTTACCGCTCTGATACCATGTTAAGAGAGAGAAAATCAGATAGTCCACCTTTTCATTCATTCACAAGGGTTTATATTATATAGGAGTACATATGGGTAATAGGCTAATGGGTTAATGGCCCTGACCCGATAACCCAAATACTAATTCTAACAGAATTGTTGCTGAAGCTTTGTCTGGCTTAAGTTGTTACTTTTATTTGTTGCTTATATTGTTATGAATTTACACATATGTTTGCTTTAACCTTATATTTCTTTGAATTGTACAAATTGATCATGTATCTTTAGCGGACATTTTTGCATGTTTGTTTCCAGTTCACATAAGATGAGAATCCTTTCAGCTTTTATTTTATAACTAAGGTCTGTGTAACTCGAGGCACAACTTCTCTTGGGAGTGATCCAAGTGTCTTAAACTAGTTTTTGCACCATAGATTTCTTTCTCCAAATTTGTAGCCATTGGACTTAACTGGTCTATATATGTTCTTGGTTGTTTTCAGAGTTTGATACCAATTTTTAAAGGGTTTACACCATATGGTAGCCAGACATGTTGGCCAACCTTAAGGAAATTTTCTTGATTTTATTGTGCTTCACTCTATGACCTTCTGCAACCCTTCGTTCCAACTTTTTGGGTGGGCCACATTAATGCTTTTATGCAACTTGGAGTTTTGAATATTCTAAGGGCCAGTTCTACACTGACCCAGTGTTGATTGAAAAAGAGTTGACTTGTCATGACTGCAAATATATGTTTGTCTAATTATATACAGCATATATAACCTGCCATTTTCTGCTTTTATATCTCTCTTTTTTTTATAATACTGTTGTAGAATTTGATTTTATATTTGTTTACTTGAACTTTTAAGGTGGAAGCAACAATCGAGTATATTTGTCGGAATGAAGGGGATGGAGCAATTCTTGTCTTCCTTACCGGTTGGGATGAAATATCCAAGTTGCTTGAAAAGATTAAAGCAAACACTCTTCTTGGAAATTCTAGCAGGTTTCTTGTTCTTCCGTTGCACGGTTCAATGCCCACTGTGAATCAACGTGAAATATTTGATAGACCTCCAAGTAATATGAGGTGAGTACTCTTTTTCTTGAATTTAAACATTTTTAAGTTTATTGAGTTTAAACTTTAATGATAAGCACATCAAAATATGTGAATGTTTTGACGTAGAAATCCTCTTTTATATGTAGTTAGATATACATTTATCTATTTTCTCCTCAGTTGCAGGCAACAAAGAATTTTAATAATCCTAATTTAAGCCCAGCTAGATGACCTTTTAGTTTTCATCATTTCTTTCCTCTATGAATTAGTTTGACAATCAAGTTCATAATCTTTACTCCTGTAGCCTTGGAAGCCTAGGTTAACAGCAAGCAGTAAAGATGATAAGCATATTAGTTTGACAATCAAGTTCTTAATCTTTGCTCCTGTAATCTAGAAGCCCTAGGTTAAACATCAAATTCTAAAAGTAAGTGTGAACATGAATTTCCAATAGATTTCACCAAATGTAGAAATAAAGAGGGTTCTAGCATGTAAACAGGATATCACAGTTGGAAGGAAAAGAAATTAAATAGCCATCTGAAAGTAGTCCTGTTTAATATGTTTTACATTATCAATTTGTAAAATCAAGATAGGCAGGAACATGGTTTTCATACGATTCCACCAAATCTAGAAATTAACAGGGTTCTAGATTGGAAATGCTGGAAAATTGGATATGGTAGCTGGAAGGCTATGAAATTTGACAGCCATGAGAAAATAGTCTTGTTTGTAATGTGTTTTACATTATCAAAATTTTTAGTCCATATGGAGCATATCTACTCTTATTGCAAATTACTAAGCATCCCCTAGTTATCAATGATACAGATATAATTTTTTCGATGGAATCCGTATCAGTGATAGTTTTTAAATTACTAATTCATCTTTGTCTCATGTCAATGGTTGCAGGAAGATTGTCTTAGCAACCAATATTGCTGAAAGCAGTATTACCATAGATGATGTTGTGTATGTCATAGACTGCGGAAAGGCAAAGGAGACAAGTTATGATGCTTTGAATAAGTTGGCATGTCTATTGCCATCATGGATATCAAAGGCTTCGGCACACCAGGTAAGTTAGCTTAAACAAGAGCATAGGTGATTGACTGTCAATTGATTTGTCTAATTATGGGATCTTTCATACAGAGACGAGGGCGTGCTGGCCGTGTTCAGCCAGGAGTGTGTTACAGGCTGTATCCGAAACTTGTTCATGAAGCAATGCTCCAATATCAGTTACCTGAAATTCTCAGAACCCCCTTGCAAGAACTTTGCCTAAATATCAAGAGCCTACAGTTGGGTGCTGTTGCCACATTTCTAGCGAAGGCACTACAGCCTCCTGATCATCTTGCTGTTCAGAATGCAATTGAACTTCTCAAAACAATAGGGGCTTTAGATGAAATAGAAGAACTCACTCCTCTTGGTTGGTGATAGTATATATTAGTGGTTTTGCAGTAATATATAAATAGGGATTATAATAGATAGGGTTCTTTGTATATATGCCCTTAGGTTGCATATATGCAAAACTCCCCCCAAATCATCAACTTTGGAGGTAAAAATAAAAAATCACCGAATCCACAAACCATCAGCTTTGATGGATTGATTTGCAAATGCAATGTAATAATATCAACAAGTCAAATATTTACTCACCATAGTTGTTTTGAGGGTGTTTTCCCCCTCTCCCAAAGTTGGTATTTTGGGGGTAGTTTTGTAAATACTTAGCTTTGGGTGGTAGTTAAGAAAATACGTGTGATTTTTAAGGACATATATTACATATAAAACAATCTAATAATGATATGGATGTTTCTTTCTTTCTGGTCATTTTTCTCATGACTTCTTTCTGACTTTTTTCTGTAATAATTAAAATAGGTCATCACCTTTGTATGCTGCCTTTGGATCCCAATATTGGAAAGATGCTACTCATGGGATCCATATTCCAGTGCCTGGATCCAGCTCTGACAATAGCTTCTGCTCTTGCACACCGCGACCCATTTGTTCTACCAATAAACAGGAAAGAGGAAGCTGACAGTGCAAAAAGATCATTTGCTGGTGATTCTTGCAGGTGAGCCTAGCCATTCCACTTATTTTAACTTTCACAACTTACATAAACATGTAAGAAATAAACTTAATAGATCTTATAAAGTTCATTTCTGTAGTTAAAATCTTCTCTAATTGACTGCTAACGGTTTGCAGTGATCATATTGCTCTTCTGAAAGCTTTTGATACATGGAAAGATGCAAAGCGTAGTGGAAGAGCTCGTGATTTTTGTTGGCAAAACTTTTTATCACCTATGACACTGCAGATGATGGATGACATGCGAGGCCAGTTTCTTGATCTTTTGTCAGACATTGGCTTTGTTGACAAAGCTAAAGGAATCAAGGTATGATCTTCAGGTTCTTCTGTTCATAAATTCGTCCCAATCAATGTGTGGCATCCTGTTAGTGTATGCATTTCACTACACAAGTTTGGTCGTGCTGTTTGCTAACTGATTCTTCTAGATTTGATTGATTGTAAGTCTCATTATATACAGCAGTTACAGCGGTTATGTTTCTCTTTCTGTCTAGATTCACTAGATGATTAAATCTTTACGTTTCTTGTTAAACTTCACTTTCAGTTGCTAAATTTCTTCATTGGACCATAAATACTTTTTAAAATTTCTTGTCCCTGTGCGTATTAGGTTAGCATAAAATTATGATGGAATTGCATTTCTTTCAAAACTTTAATTGTTAAATTTCTTAATAGGTCTATAGAATATTAAGTTTCTGAACCTTACGTGTATTGGGTTTTCATAAATTGATAACAGAATTACATTTCTCAGCTCTTTGCTGTCTTTGTGCAATTTCTTTTTGTGTGGTACTAAGTATATATGCCTTCTTATTTTCATATATCCCAGGCATATAACCACTATGGGCATGATATGGAAATGATTTCTGCTATTCTATGTGCTGGGCTTTACCCTAATGTCATCCTGTGCAAAAAAAGAGGGAAGAGGACAGCATTCTACAGTAAGGACGTCGGGAAAGTGGACATCCATCCTGCTTCTGTGAATGCAGGGGTCCACTTGTTTCCTCTGCCCTACTTGGTTTACAGTGAGAAGGTGAAAACTACGAGCATTTATATCAGGGACTCAACTAACATATCAGAGTATGCTTTGCTTCTTTTTGGAGGCACACTCAAGCCAAGCAAAACTGGGGAGGATATCACAATGCTAGGAGGCTATCTTCATTTTTCTGCACCAAAAAGTGTGATACAACTGATTCAGGTATTACAAGCTTCAACTGCACTCTAATATCTCTGCTCCAAATGCTCATTCACTAAGAGGGCAGATTCTATCACAACAACGCAACAGAATGAGGCGATCTATACCATTCATGTGTGGTCGGGGGTTAAATGGGGATTTTAACTCTTCTATTTGTGGTGTAGACCGCCTCATTCGTACAAGGGTAGTTCTGATTGGATCCTTATGCATTTACTAACAGTAAAATTATGCCAAAGGCTTGTTAATGGTTGGTTATGTTTCTGCGTGGGTGATTTTTTCAATTGAGGAACAACCTTTCACCACTATTACATTCTTATACAAAGTTATAGATTAATGAGAATGAGATTTACTAATGCCTTTATGGTCCTTACTTTGCTATTTAATTTAAGGGTTAATTCCAGGCATGCTTCCTGTAGTATGGTACTGTGCTCGCATTTGGTTTTCAGTACTTACACTGTCTGAATCTCAGATGGCACTACTTTTACCCTCAAATAAGATGATTTTGTCCTTTTTTCAGAGGGCAAAAGACACATTTTAGTATGATTCCTACATGACATCTCAGCGTTACTTCAGGGGATACAAGTGGTTATATAACCTCAATAGAACAAGAGAATGGTTGTAACCCTTTAATTCAATGAAGGATCCATGATTTCACGCGCATACGCGTGCGCGAAAGGTTCATGATTCTGTAACCAAAGATTTGTGCTGAAGGGTCTTATTGTTTTTGTTGTCGTCGTCGTTGTTGTTGTTCTTGTATGTAATATCTGATATGAGTTTTTCCTAACAGAGATTGAGAGGGGAGCTCGATAGACTTCTTCAAAGGAAAATTGAGGAACCACGACTAGATGTCTACTCAGAAGGAAAGGGTGTTGTTACTGCAGCTGTTGAACTGTTGCACAGCTGAAAGTTTTTATTATTGGTATATAGATCAATCTTCTAACGGTTCTTGTTAAAGAGTAGTAGTACTGGCTCCCTAATTGCTGGTCATCATCTGAGAATTTATTCTCACCTTTGCTTTAGAGTCCTCCGGAAGTAGTACACGCGAGGCACATTTTTGTTGATTGCCCAAGTGTAAGCCTATTTATTGTAACAATTATTTATATATGTATTTATAGAAATGTTATGTTATGCAATAAATATTATCCCTCTTTAGGATTTAATGCTAACAAGTTCTATTCATAGAGGTTATGCAGTGGCAACCTGAAATTACCAGCTTCAAGTCTTCGTTTTGTTTGACATGGCCTTTACTTCACGTCTATGGAATCCTCAGTCCTATCCAGTGCAACATGGAACGTGACTCTTCTATGCTATCGGAATCCCGAACAAGTTAGAAATCTACAGGCAAGTTTAACCTGTTAAATTGCACTTATATACCCTATTGTTTCATCTACTTTTCACTTATATACCCTTACTTGTTTTTGGTAGCTAGAAAATACCCTGAAGTTCTTATATTCCCTCACTTATTTTTGGTAGCTCTTATATGCCCTGAAGTTATTAAAAATTGCATTTAAATACCCTAAAATTTTTAAATATGGCACTTAAATGCCATATAGCTTTTAGAACTTGCACTTAAATACACTCAAGTTTGCATAACTGAGGGTATTTATGTGCGAGTTTTAAAAACTTTAGGGTATTTAAGCGTTAGTTGTAAGAACTTTATGGTATTTAAGTGCTATTTGTAAAAGCATAAGGGTATTTAAGTGCCACTAAAAAAAGTGAGGGTATATAAGTGCAAGTTTAAAAAACTTTGGAGCATTTCTTTGCTACCAAATACAAGTGACTATATAATTGAAAAATAGTTGAAACCATAGGGTATATTTAAGTGCTATTTAGCTCAAGTTCATGTGATTGTAATTCTCATACAGTTGGGATGTAAGAAGAATTGTTCTCTCGAAATGAAATGCTTAACCCTACAAATTTATACTGAAGCTAAACAAAGACATCAATTTGATTTCACATTCTGAGGAATTCTAGGCTTCACTTAGCAATGCTGATCCTTTCATGCACATGCAGGCAAACTGTTAAAAAAAACAGTCCCTGGGAGAACTAGATTTCAAAGACCTTTTGAAGAAACCATGCATGCCCTTACTTAAATCATTGATGAGAATACAGACTGATAATAGTAGAAAGTATAAACTTGCAAAACGGTTTTCTCATATTATTGGATTATAATAGTATTATTTTCTTTTAAGAAAAAAGATTTACAGCGATAATAAATGAGAAAAGAAAACTAATATTCACTGGTTAACATGAAACGTATATAAAGGGAGCCCAAACCTTAGGAAGTGAAAGTAAAAAAAAAACAGAAAGACGAGCTCCCTTTGTTATAAAGGATCCCGGCTTGCTTCTTATTCTACTGCTTTCACAAAGATTTACTCTATTTCAGCCACATAAATATCTGTGGTGCTGGTATCTTCAAATCCAAGTGATTTTTTAATTTTTGACCAAATCCTCTCCAATTCAGTGGTAATTAAAAAGGGTCTGATTAACTCAATCATTATCATATATATTCAAGTTTAAGGGTTGAAATTATGCCACATAAAATTTCCGCTATTGTCGTGAAAAACACCTTTGTCTTGAAAACCACAAACTCAAAAACCGCTATTACAATATTAAAAATCCTACATGGTACAAATTTGGAAATGGGATGAACGGTTTGAGTTTACGTACCATCAATAACTTTATGTCAATATCTCCACAATTTTATGTAGAACTTCAAGCTACTCTTACCGCTTGCATTGCTTCTTCATTCAAATGCTCCATTCATATGTCCTCAATGCTCTCTTATCTTTTAGGCTAATGCTTATAACCAAGAATTCACTAGATATCAGATGCTTGAGCTGTTCTGCAGAAATTACCTAAAATATGCTACTATACTTCAGCAGATAATCAGAACTGATCTTGGTTCAATCATTATTGGGGGAAAAAATGAATGTAGGCAGAAGCAAGTACTGCTGATGATTTTGCGAAATGATACAAGTTCGTTTGATCCATTTGAAATCTGACAATGTTTTTATTTAACCTGATAGCGTTAAGAGGCAATAATACAACATTGAATGGACCACAGTTTTTACTTAACCTAATAGTGTTAGGCGATAATACTACATTGAAGGTATTCCCCGGTAGTACTATCGTCACCCACTGGAAAAGGTTACATACATACACACACGATATCCACCTTGAGGTATGGAGAACTTCAAGACAATGAAATCTTACTTCTCTGCTTCAGCTTCGAGACCATAGCCTCAGATTTCTGTAGAGATGAGAAATGAGAAAAATTAAAATTGATAAAAAAATACAGGTAAGAATAAAAAATCATCTTCAGAAGCTCATGGTTTTATCAGTTGTCCTTTGATCCATACTGGGAGTAATCAGGTAACAATAGAGCAAAAACACAAGTAGAAAATAAATTTTTCCTGCAAGACTATGACCAGCAAAAAAAAAAAAAAAAAACTTTTCAGGCTCTTTTGGCAAATGGTTAAGGAAGATGGATTAAGGCGAAAGATTAACATAGTTAGCCCATTCGATAGCCCGAACAACTAAATTATTAACCCGTTAAATAAGTTTTATTTAGCTCTTGCGATCATTTTTAGTGTTTGGGAATAACAAAGATTTTGATTATTTTATTTATAAATAGAGGGGTTAACTCTTAATCCTTCTAAATATGAGTTATTAATAATCCCCCCATTTTGAGGGATTAAGTCATTTTAACCCCTCTAAAGGAGTTAGCTTAACTCTTTTGTATTTTTTGCGTTTGGTAAATTATGAAGGATTAACTCAATTTAACCCTTGTATAGATTTTTTTTTGCGGGTTAAAAAGGGGTTAAGTCCTTAACCCCTTACTTAACCCATTGCCAAACAGCACCCTCTTTCACTGGACCAACCAAAAATTAAATTTTGATACATATCACCATCGCAATATGCATCAATCAAGAAAAGATGCATGAATCAACATTGTATAGAAGCCCAACTCAAGAAACACGAGAGATAACATTGTGTGATAACATATACTTGGGCTTTTACCACCTGTCCCAAACAGTTCATAAATTTATCGCAAATAAAAACTGCAAATATTATGGAAATTAGCATATAAACAGTGTAAGAAAAAATAACCTGCTCGCTGTAAGGTAGATATTTGCCATCAAATGTAACAACTACACGTTCTTTCCCATCAACACCTTTAACCTTGTCAACAGAGCAGTAGAAATCTATTGCTGACATACTGAAAAGAAGAGACAGGCAAATTGTAAAAATATTGTCCAAATGCTTTTGAAGCAATTCATACATCTTCCAGATTATGTGTTATTTGTTGCAAAGAGAAAAGAACTGGGACAAAATTTAAATTGCATTGTTGCAGTCTGTTTATCATCACTCCATTAATTTCAAAGTGCCATGTGTGCGAAGTTTCCTGTTTTTAACAGTTTTTTGACATTTCCTTTCTGAATTCTCAGAAGTGCGGGCGAAAATCAAACTTATATACCCAACTGAGACATGAGCCAGGATATAATCTGCTAAATGCTAACCTGGGTAAACTCTTCACATGTTTGTAGAAGTTAATAAGCTCCTTGCTATAAATAACCCTTTATAGATTCTAAAAATCACTACAAATGTAAGAAATACATATTTATTCAACTCCCACGACACGACCAACGAGATATAAAAGTAGGACAAATTTTCAAAACCACCCCTTTTAGCATTTTATTTGCAAAAAACGACCCATTTTGAAAATAATTACAAAAACCGACCTGTTTTCAGCCCAGCGCTGAAAACAGGTCGGTTTTTGTAAAATATGAATTTTGTGAAGAAATATGAAAATTAGAGGGGAAATTATCAATAAATGTGAAAATTAGTGTGAAATTTATCAATAAATGTGAAAATTAGAGGGAAAATTATCAAAGGGGAAATTATCAATAATTTTGTGAAGAATTAGTGTGGAAATTATCAATAATTTTGTGAAATTAGAGGGGAAATTATCAATAATTTCGAAAATTATTGTATTTAGATTTTAGAATTTAATTGTGAATTATTTACGAATTTTGTGAAGATGTATTAAATAATTTGAATTTTTCACTCTTCAGAGGAATTTGGAAATTAGAGTTACTACCTAAATGTAAAAATTAGTAACAATCAATATTTATTTGGCTTTTCGTGTAATATTGATATTGAATTTTTCACTCTTCAGAGGTTACGATGAACGATCGAATTGTAATTCTCTGTTCTTATGATGGGAAGATTAATTACCTGGAAAATAATATGCATGTTTATGAAGGAGGCACGACGAGACCGTTGTTCATAACAAAATCGTGTACTTTCGATGAGTTGGTTAATGAATTACACAAACTTACATTAACTAACTCACGTGAGTATCACCTCAGTGTGGTTTGCAATTATCCTGTTGTGGGGAACAGAACAAGTGGCATTCAAATATCAAGTGACTACGATATGGGTCTCATTCATGTCTTACACGACGAGAAGCGTTCGGTCGAATTGTTCATTGAAAAACATCAGAGAGATTTGGGCAAATCGTTGAACTACGAAGGAATGTATTCCCGCATGTTGGAGGATCCTGAAGTTGATTCTGTAGGCTTTTTATCTCCTCAACAAGATGAATGTTGGACACAATCACAATACATGAGCGGTCCTTCGTTCGTGGGAACTTCGCATGCTTTCGATACTAACACGGGAATTCAAGAAGATAATGCAAGTGTTGAATCCGAGAATGATGATGAAGATGAGGGATTACAAATTAATAGCATGACCTTGATAGATCGTGATGGCGGGGAAAACCAACACATCGACGGGGCTTATGTTAATAATGAGTATGTCGGCTTAGAGGATCCGCCGCCCGATGAACTTCAAGGAGATGAATGGATTGATAACTCCGCGATGAAAAGTGTTCCTATTGGCACTAATAGTGGTGTTGATACACATGCTGAGGACTTCTCATTCATAAAGGGAGATCTTTACGAGAGTAAGGAGAAATTGATCCATGCTATTCGCACGTATTCCATTGCAAAAAATGAGTAAGGAGAAATTGATCCATGCTATTCGCACGTATTCCATTGCAAAAAATGTGAAGTTCAGGCCAACGAAAAATAATACTACAAGCTACAATGTGTCGCACGTATTCCATTGCAAAAAATGTGAAGTTCAGGCCAACGAAAAATAATACTACAAGC